TGGAAAATACAGTGAGGTCGGAAATTAAGCGATCGTTTAAAAAGTGGGAAGTTGGGCAAAATGAGTACTGTGGTTCAAGTGATATTAGCATATTTCTCATTTAGTTTTAACTCGTACAATATTTATTCACTCACTGTTTACTATAGCCAGAACGCTGTACGTGTCTTCACTTTCAGGTTAGTTCTTTCGCCGATTTCTCGCAACCAGCAACGTGAATTTTTATTTGGGATTTCGATAAACATAACATGAATCGTTATGGCATTCATAACACAATACCTCTTCATGTTTCAACTTTTAAGTAGTCAGTTAACAAGGTCTTTCATAGTAGCATTTGTATGGGATTAACGTACTAGCATGAATGAGTTCAATTATCAGTGTTCACTGATGACATCATCTGACTGGCCCTCTAGAGGCGAAATGACACCAGGAAAAGCGGAAGTTTGTCGTCTGCTTCACAGCCCGTTTTATACCCGATATTTAGGGCATTTCGCAGCACATATAAGTTATTTTTATCGACAGAATTCATTCATAGATCTCAAATTTTATGTACAGAGTGACAAAAGCCACACATCTGCTCCCCTTTAATTTATTTACATTTCATTTTGGTTTGATTAATTGTCGTTTAAATGATGTTTGTATATTTTTATTAATTTGTCCTAATTGCCTTGTTGTTAGAATTTCATTGTTGTCAACCAGGTTATACTGGTTGATGTTAATCAACTATTTTACTATGTTACTATTAATTTCTTAATATTAATAATTTACTATTAAACTCAAAAACATCGTAGTGTTATTACTTCTACACCAGGCAACACCAATTATATCCAACATCGATTTAGAATTACTGTGGACATTTTTTGCTTTTCCATAAAGCAGCAGATTCCCTTTTTTAATAATCAAAACTACCCTTGATACCCTTGATAAGTATGTCCATTGTTTCAAAACAACGACTATCCCAAGAGATTTTCGTCTTCTCAATTTCTCAAGATAAACGTCCCAGGGTTGTTTTGTTTACTAGAAGGAAATTTCCTTTGACAGCATTACTTGAATTAATTTCCATTGAACAAAAAGCAGCAAATACTCTTACTGAAGCACAGAATTGGCATGATTTTCCCCGGCCATTCACGCAAACTGCAAATCAAGACTTTTACCGCATCCATAGTTGTTGACAGCCGATGGATGATGATGTGTGTATTGTGACGTATTTTGACCCCCGGATTCTGACCTTGCATTCTTGCCACATTTACTTTCATACCCGTTCAATTTCCTTTCATTATTTCATCCAGATTCCATGATATTTTATATTTAAAACCAACCTTTATTTCCGCAGACACAGCGGCGATCGCCAACATATCTACAAATAACCTCGCTCTCAGGAGCTGAGGAATAAGTAAGCTAGGGGGCCTTTTTAGTGCCCGGATGTTGAGCGCTGAGTGTTCATTGATTTAACGGGGACTTGGAAGCGTGGTTGCAGTTCGGTGCTTATATTTGAAACAGAACATCTTGTGACAATAAGAAAATGGAGGATGATGACGACGGTGTCGGCTTTCTGTACAAAACGATGTGTAAGTTTTCGTTAAAGGTTTGTTTTTGTATTTTTTCTTAATTCTGTGATAAGCGTCAATATAAAAGAAGGTCGTGTGCTTAGTGGAATGACCCGGAAGTGATTGGAAATAATGCATTTTCCTTTGTTCAATTTTCTGAATGTTCATCCGTATACTGATCTATAACAAGTAACACATTCTTATTACAGCTACCACTACCGTATACGGTTTAATGGAATGAAAACGTTATGAAACAGATTATAGGTCTCCTCCCCGCGCCAAATAAACACGTGGAAGACATTGCAACGTGACATGTTTTCACATACGTTGTCAGTAACCAATCTCTAACAATCTCTAATCAGATTTAAAGGTTGACCTTTATAAACATGAAGGGGTATATATGCAGAGATAATTTAGCCAAAAAAAAATCTTGAAGAGAAAATGATGAAAATAAATATATACATGTATTTATTAAAAATACACTCATATTGGGTGGGGTTGTACATTTATAACTATAACTCTAATCCAAACCCTGTCCTCTAGTGCTCATTCCCATTTCAATTCTATATATCCCACTTTGGGTCACTTATAGGTATTTGGAAGGGCATATTGAATTACTGTAGAATACTTTATTTTAGCTGGAATTAATTTTCGCTGATTTTTTTGGGGTGTTTTGTATGGAATTTATTTGTACTGATTATTGACAAGTTGAATGCAAAATATAGGAAAAAAGGTATATTCGCTTGATTTTATTTTCACTGAATCATTCCTTCAGTGAAAATAGCAAAGAAAGCTAAAAACATACAATGTTGTTTTAGCTAAAAAATATGTAATAAAAGTAGATATCAAGGCATTTCTTTGATGCGTATTTCATTTCGGGTGTACTAGAGGGTCTTGCATGTATCCATTAGACAAACATACTTACAATGTAATTGACTTTCAAGAAAAAAACCCTAAGCCCCCTAACTCGATGATTTTTTAGCTTTATTTAAGAGGCTCACTTATATTCATATTCTGCAGTTAATTTCTCGATACACACAATCTTGACATTTTTTTTAAAAATGTTTTTGTCTCTCCTGACTATTTTTTTTTTTTGCAAATTGCAAATGCTAGTGCTGACACAGTGCATTTTGACATGACAGGGCTGTGTGGCCATCTCCCTATCAAATGGCATTTTTTTTTTAATGCGCTATCCTGCCGTCAACCAGGCTCGGTCGAACACAAGCACCAGTGAACCTTAACCAAGTTTCCCCCAAAGTCGCATTCGCATAGTCGCATAGTGAATGAATCTCGGCCAGTGGAATTGGCCTTCCCATTGAGTCTGTGCACACTCACCCAGGGTAGGGGTCGACCCTTTGATGTTCAGCCTAAGGTAGGATTTGAACTTGGGTTTACCAATCAGTCTGATGTTACAACCACTATGCTAACAGTGACCGGTCACAATCTTAACATTTAATGGTGAAAATATTGATCAGAAGATCAGATCAGAAGACTTGCAGATGAGACTGTGAAGTGAGAATGCGATTTTAAAGAAATTATTTTATAAAAAATAAAATTATTATTCAAGTTTTTCTGGGGTGTGTGTATGATCAAAATGTGCAATACTAGTGTGTTAAATGGGTGATGACAAGCTGTCCTTCATCACCAAATCATGAAAAGGATAGACAGACATTTTGGGCTTTACCATTTCATAGGAGTGTAATTACTCTTTATTGTAAAGTGTATGACATAATTGTGACTTCATTCCATGATACTGATAAAAAAAAATAGCTAGCAAAGAATATTAGACAATTTTTCAATTAATACTTGTATAATACATGTATATGTTTATTACAAGGATATTGCAAAGTATACACGGAGACAGTATAGCGAGAGTATTGATTGACGTGCAGCGGAGGTTGATGCGACCACGTACTGTCTGAGTGCATACTTTGCAGTATATTTATAATTATACATCTTTTCTTCCCAGGAATACATCATTGGAATGCCGAAATCCCAAACTTTTTAGAACAGATTTAGCTAACTTCTTTGTGTAGGGTCCATTCAAACCAATCGACACACAGCAGAGGTTGATGTGACCGCATACTGTTTGACTGCATACTTTGCAGTATCCTTATTATAACCTTATTATTACCTATACATCTTTCCTCCCAGGAATACTTGATGGAAATGCCGAAATATTAAATTTTTAGAACAGATTTAGCAAACTTCTCTGTGTGGGGTCCGTCCGGTCAAACCCTGGGGGCAGACATGTTTGTTTTTATTATTAGAGGATGCTTACACATGTAATCACTCCATATTTGGAAATCGTGTTTCCTAATATGGTAGGATGGAAATATCCAGTGCAATACTGCAAAATTACGCTGTAACTTATGGCGTTACGGAGACAGATGTATAATATTTATGTATTATTTGTTTTTTAGTATCAAGAGATCCAAAGAAACGTCGGATAAAACCTGTTGAGAAACATTTAATTCAAGTAACCTTTGGTGATGACAGTGAAGACGACAGTGATTTTGAAATAGAAGGCCATGATGATGATGATGGTATGTATGCCAGTGTAGGATATGCGAGGACAATTACAATTACAGACACTATCATGACATTGATTGTACATGTATGTAGGTTTATGTAAAATATTTTATTGCGTTAAGTTTCACTTAAATGTAATTATTATACTCATGCACTACAATGATACAAATGCTCTTTTATATTTTTATACAAATCCTCTCCCACCTACTTACAAATGGATCTTCAGGATTATCTTGCCACATAGTTTTCTATATTTCCTTCAATAAAAATATGCTACAGAAATATTATTTAAATACAGACAATCTTTGAGTTTCGTATTTGCTCTATTAGAAGCACATCTCTTATTGAAACGCACATAGACAAAAACTTGCATTTTGTATTGTATACTGGATCATTAAAAATATAACTTCTGTGATTTACATATTAAGTGCTTGCACTTCCAATAAAAGAAACTTGGTACATTGATGCAAATATTTTGAATAATATCCATCTGCACATTAGAAATATCTGTTCATATAAATGTCAAGTCATTGTACTATTTACAAATTTCTCTATTAATAATTTACATTTAAAAGTTACCGGTATATCTTTCTGTCTTAGAAGGATGGTACATTTTGTGTGCGGTATAACCTACAATATTATACATGTATGCATTTAGCTCTGAAAACAGGAAAGTTTACCATGCTGTACAAACGGCTGTATCTACATTTGTTCAAATTTCAAGTTATGTGGGGTAAACTTGGTGACCAACATTGAACATGTTGTGTATGGCAATCAACTGTATATAAACGAGTACAAAAATGCAGTTTAGAAGAACATATTTTGCATCATAAGGCTTTACATCATATTATTCTAAACTTGAAACCAAACACATGGTCAATATGAACAACCATGTTACATGTATGTGTATGGTAAAAGCGATGATGACACTAAGTTCCCTGTTGTCAGCAAATAAAACTGCTGAAAATCTGAACACCTGAGCTTTTCACCAAGTATTGTTAGCATTACATGTCATACTAATAATTGATTGCATGATTGCAATGAAAGTCCAGAGTGGATTTTCATATTTCCTGATTATCCTGCATTTCCAGGGGAACCTGGGTTATCTTATTTTACCCTTTTCGTCTTGCTCGCAAAATACAATTTGTAGGTAGTGAAGTGGCTGTCAGTATTTTTAACAACTTACTTGTCTTAGCAATAAATAGATCAAATTGTTTTATCCGTGTCTGTCGTAGTCCAAAATGGGGACTTGTGTTTTGGGTTCTGTCTGTGCATTCAATCATCGTCATTTCTCAGAGATGCCTAGACAAATTTTCTTCAAAGCTGGTACAAAGACATTCAGCCGAATGGCGGCCATTTTCGTCAAAAAACGAATAAAATCACAAAATTCAAACATGTCATCAACTGGTTCTTGGACATGTCTTGACGGATTGCATTCAAACTTGGCATTGACATCAGTCATAGTGGGTTACTGATGCACGTCATTGTTTTTCGTGATTTGATTCAAAATTGCTGACTGGTGGCCATTTTGTTTTTATAAGTGTTCTGCCCATTTTACAGAGATGATTTTACAGATTGGTTTTAAATTTGGTACAAAGGCAAAATAAAATGAGTTTAAGTTGTAAGTTGGTACATCACAAGTCATGATACATGTGAATAATACTTTGTTTTATTTTGTTTGACCTTCAACTGACTGCCATTAATAGTTTAGACATGTCATTAACAGTTTCTGGGGCTTGCCTTGACAAATTTCATTCAAACTTAGTCTTTATACCTGTTTCATGCATATTTGTAGTTAATATGCTAAATACTATCCCAAAAATTGAACATAATCTGACTATTCTTTTCATTTTCACTAAAACATGACAGGACTACATGTATGTCATTGACAATGACTTGTTATCAATGTATTCCTGACACACTGTAGTTGCTCACAGTGTCATATTAGATATGCGTCCCCTACGACCTAAACATTGTACAACAGTTGTAAAATACATTGTTTATTTACACAAAATTGAAACATATTTTTAGAAGATGACGTCGTGCTTTTTCACGACCAGTTTCCTCTTTTCGTTACAAATTCTTGTACAAAAAATTTTGGTTTGTTGACTCCAAAATTGTGGTTCATTTCAATAAATACTGAAGAGTTTAAAAAAAGTGTAGAAAAATGTGAGCGCGAAAGTCTGGTGGTGAAAAGGTTAACCCAAACACTCTGATATTGTACTTTTAATAAAAGGTAATTT